GGATCGAGTCCCGCATCGGGCTCCCTGCTTGGCAGGAAGCCTGCTTCTCCCTCTGACCCTCCCCCTCTCATGTGCTCTCTCTCTCTCTCATTCTGTCTCAAATAAATAAATAAAATCTTTAAAAAAAAAAAAAAAAAGAAATATTCTAATCTGCCAAATACAAGGGCAAATGGCTGATATCACATAACTGCCTCGAACACCTCCATATTCCAACTTGGTTGATAAATCAGGAGGAAGTTGATTACAAATCAGTCTGTGACTGTAGGCTCAGCACAGTTCGGCTACCTTTAAATGCACCCCCTTTTAATTTTTTATTATACAAAAGAAGCAAAAACAAGAAAATACCATTCGTAAGCCCACCAACCAAACATAAATAACCACTATTAACACTTTGCTGTATTGAAACCGTCACCTTTAAGATACCCTCCTTCTTTATTCCCCGGCCTTCCTTCCACTGACTTCCCTCCTAAACATCTCAGTATCGAATTACTTGGAAAACCATTATATGCTCACCAAGAAAATACCTTTCTGCAAGAGCTGAGCACAGGGGTCTCCTTGAGCAGAGCCCCACGTGTGCTCCCGTGAGAAGCACGAGAAGCCCGCCCGCACACGCAGGCGTTGGGAGCGGGGGCCTGCCCCTGGCCTGGGGCCCTGGGACCACCACGGGAGCGGCTCCAGGCACTCCAGGACTCCCGCAAACACCACTTACTGTGCCGGGCATGTGACTTCTCTCATTCTTCCCATTCTGAGAGCTGCCGTTCTTGAGTTTCTTTTTCTTCTTGGCTGTTTCTTTGTGCTCTTTCTGTTTGTTTTGCACTTCAATGAGAACAGAAATAAAGCTATTTTTCACTTCCTTTTCAAACTCCAGTTCGTCTCGCAGGGCCAACTGCTGCACCAGCTCTTCAGAGAATTCCTTGATGGCGGTCTCAATTTCTTCCAGTAGCTCATTTAATTCAGAGACTGAGAGCCTTTTTACTCCTGTGACCAAAAGCAAAGCACAGCAGATACTAAGATGAAAAGTGTTTCAAGAGAGTGGTGTTTTACGCCAAAAGAGTGAAGATCATATTCTAAACAATTAAACTGTGGGAGATCTTCTTGTAATCCTAAAACTTCTGGTGGGCAGGTCTGAGCAGAGGTAGGTGGGCAACTTACTCCTCAAAAGGCTGAGGAGTGTAACAACATTCTTTACTTGTCTAACTCAATCATTCCACGAACAGCACTCCAGTCAAGACAGAAAAAAGCTCGTACAAGGAAAAGAACAAACACAAAAACCAAGGGAGAGTACAGAAACTACCTGCTGACAAGAAACTGCACGCAATTTAGCAGGGTTCTAGCACACTTCAGAAGATAGAAGTTGAAGTGAAAAAATTAAATACATACTTGATCACATGTGCCCCGATGTGTGAATTTTTTTTGAAGACTGGGAAGATGAAAGGAAAGACTATTCCCTGAAACCCGCTTTCAGTTTTTTCTTAGCACTTCTCACGTGAGTGAGGCTAGGACATCACTGAAGCCCTCCCCCAGTATGAGTGGTGTCTTACAAAATGACAAGATTAGGGCAGAGACACACACAGAGCGAAGGCCATGTGACGACAGAGAAGCCCGCCATCTACAAGCTAAGGCGAGAGGCCCCAGAGGAAACCAAACCTGCCCACACCTTGATCTTGAACTTCTAGCCTCCAGACCCCTGAGACAATAAATTCCTGTTGTTTAAGCCCTGGACATGTGGGACTTTGTTAGAGCAGCCCAAGCCATCTAATACAGGATTCAAAGGTGAAAATGACAAAGTCCCTGAGCAATGATAAAAATACGCCCGAGCATTGTTGGAGGGCTGAAGAAGGGTGTGTATCACAGCCTATGAGAGTCAGAGCTTTCTGGAGATGGTCTGAGATACACAGGAAGTATGAAGAGCATGGATTTAAGGAGCGTGTCTTACTCTCTTCATAACTGCTTGTGCTGGACCTCTGAAGAGTCTGGATTTCCTGGGACAGCATTGACAGCCGATCTGACTGGGTGGGCGTTTCATCATCTTCTAGGTCTGGAGATTCCTGCATCATTTCTTCAATTTCTTCGATAACCTTCCAAAATGTACATACCACTGTTACTCAGAGGCACTTGGGAAAACAATCTATCTGCACACGGTGCTCCCCTGAAGCAACCAGAGTAGAAATGCACTAAATTCTCCACTAACCAGCGGTGTGCAGGAGGAGCTGGTGTTCAGAATAATCAAAATTTTGCTTGCAAGGGTGAACATGGTTTATTAAAAAAAAAAAAAAAATTTACAATATGCTAAGCACAAAATTAAACAGAGTATGATTTAATGTCCATCATGATTCAGTAAGCCCTATCAGATCTTGCAATGTCTGAGAAACGGTACAAAAACACACATATAATTTACTTCAGATGTGTTAGAACCAGATCATATAGTCAAAAGAAAGCAAATGACAGAAAATATACCATATGCCACATGCCAGGGCTCAATCTAAAGCACTTCATCAAACTGACATAAAATTTAAAAAACAGAACAGTATAAAAAATTGGTACGTAAAGCAAAAAATTACCTCTACGACAGCAAAATTTTCCTTTAACAGCAGAAAAAGAATTTCACGCATTAATTAATGGAAGATTAAGAAATACTCAAAAATTACTTGAAGTGTAGAAGCTTAAAAGAGAAAAAAAAAAAAGGCTGCACAGAAGCAGGAAAATTTCAGAAGTCTGTCTTTCAACCAATGATCCACTGTCGTGTGCAACACTGCTCGAATCTTATGATAGTATCTTGTACTGCTCCACATTGAAAAGTTGAGAAGGATACAGAAGTCAGTGAGAACTTAAAACTAGAAAAATTACTCAACAGTTAGAAAAAAGAGATCTAAGAGTTAAAAAAAAAAAA